TTGAGCCCAGGAGTTGGAGGTTGCTGTGAGCTGTAATGCCACGGCACTCTACCCAGGGGGACAGCTTGAGGCTCTGTCTCAAAAAAAAAAAAAAAAAGATTTTGACTTTTGATTTAAGCATGATGGGAAAGTTTTGGATAAGAAATGATATAATCTGATTCTATGTTAATGCTTATATTTGAAATTTTACACATATACAGAGAAATACATAGAATATAGATAGTTAAAAGTTATTATCAAGTGAACACCCACAGATCCAAAACCCAGATCAAGAAGTAGAAGATGGGCAGCATCCTGCAACCCTTTGATTATTAAAACTCTGTTCCCTGTTTCTGAACATAATCACAATTGTTGTAGGTGCTAATTTCCTTAACTTTATTGTTGTAGTACATAAGTATGCATCTCTCTATAATAGAGTCTGTTTATTTGGAACTGTTTTTAAATTTCATGATATAAATAGTTCTTCAGTATGTTTTCTTTTGTGTCTGGCTTCTTCTATTCAGCATTGTCGTTAAAATTCATACAAATTGTTGTATGAGCTGTGATTCATTCTTTTTCCTTACTCTAGTCTTTCTATTTTGTCTTTAGACATTTGAGTTGTTTACATGTATTGGCAATTAAAAATAATATTCTTCTCTATGTATCTTGGAGTATATAAATCCATGTTTCTGTAAAAGGTGTACTTCAGTGTAATTCCATGTCACAGGTTATGTATATATCCTTTTATCTTTACTGATTATGCTAACTTATATTCCCACAAGCAACACATCATACATTGCTTTGCTCTACATTCTTGACAAATTTAAAAATGTTAACCAGTCTGGTAGATGTGATTTACTTTAAAAAATAATTGCTCTGCCTTTGCTGTTGAAGGAACATGCTATGAAAGGGCAAGAGTGGAAGCAGGAAAGGAGCTCAAGGTCAGGAGTCACCAGAGAAAGGCAAATCAAAATTAGATACCAGGAGGAGGGGAGGGGCAAAAACCTAATAGTAGAATGATGGGCACACTTAATCTGTGATTCAGGCATTACAAAAGCAATCCATGTAACCACCTCAATACTTAGAAATAAAAGTGATTTCAGAAAAAAAATTTAGGTAGCAATTCATACTTACTAGGATAGCTATAATTTAAAAAGTAAGTATTGATGAAGATGTGGGGACATTGAAAATGTCATATCTTTCATTGCTGGTGGGAATGTAAAATGGTACAGCCACTTTGGAGAACATTTGGGCAGTTCCTCACAGTATTAAACATAGAACTATTATGTGGCCCAGAAATTTCACTCCTAGGAGTCTATGCAAGAAAAATGAGCATACACTCACACAAAAACCGGTATATAAATGTTCATAGCAGCACTATGCATAATAACCAAAAGGTGGAAACAATGTAAATGTTCATCACCTGTTGAATGGATGAGTAAAATATGAAGTCCCTACAAAGGAATGGTATTCAGTAATAAAGAGGAATGAGTTACAGATACATGCTGCAACATGAGTGAACCTTGAAAATATTATGAAGAGTGAAAGAAGCCTGTCACAAAAGATCATGTATTAGATGACCCTATCTATGAAGGAGTTGTCTAGAAAAGGCCAATCCATAGGGACAGAAAGATGAGTGCTTACAGGGACTTAAGAGAAGTTGGGAAATGGGGAGTGACTGCTAATGGGCACAGGATTTTGTTTCTGAAGTCATTAAAAAATGTCTGACATTATATTTCAGAGATGATTGTACAATATATACCAGATGTGGTGAATATACTAAAAACCATTGAAAATTGTATGTGAATTATAGTGTTATAGTATATGTTCTTAAAAGATGGAATGGCAAACAGGTGTTTTGTTTGCTAAATGTTATGCCTCAATTTTTATGCCACTTAATGTAATCCATTAATAATAAAATTTGTTAAAGGGTTTGGAAAACAGCAGTAAAAATAGTGGAAGCAGAGAGACCAGTTAGGAAACAATTAGAGTAGTTCATGTAGGAGATGATCGTGGTGGTTGGATTAGGAAGGTAGTGGTAGAAATGGTGAGAATCTCCAACTGGGGATATATTTGGAAGGTGGAGCAAGGCAGAACTTACTGGTGGATTGGATTTCATGTGTAAGAGAAAGAGACAAATTAAGCATGGATATCTAAACCAAGTGATGAGCAGACATTTCTTATGGGAACCTTCTCCTTAACATCCTAAGTAAGTGTCCCAAATTTGTTTCTCATGCTTCAAAGAATCCTTCCCTTCTCTTTTAGCTAGTGTTGCCCCTACTAAAAGGAAAGCCAGTAGAGAATGAGTGACCTGTTCCCTTGTTATTTACTTATTTCATTTTGAAAATATTTAGGGCATACTTACTGTGTTTAAGGCATAAAGTTGCTAGGTTAGTTTATTTTTTTAAATTGACACTATTAGTGACTTTCATCCTAAAATAAGATGATTTATATTCGTGATATGAGATAAAGTTATTTATTAAGAGACTTTGAAGAAACACTGGATGAAACTTCTAAAATTTTATTTAATTTGCATTAAACTTTTTTCCTGTGCAGTTCGTTCTGTTGGCTCTATTGCCCTTAGAAAAGCAGAAGACATTGACTTCAAGTACCACTTTGACTTCTTTAGTGTGAACTTCAATGAAGAATTGGTGGCACTGTATGGTGGAAGTCTTCAGAAGCAGACCAAGTTTGTACATGAATGCATTAAGACAATTCTTAAACTCTATAAGGTAAGAGATAAGCATGCAAATCAATAGTGGTACAACAAACATTTTTTCTTAAGGGACTCAGTATATTTTAAATCATATATTTGTTTATATGGCAGTTAAAGCAAAGATGGCACAAATTTGGTTTTTTTAATTTATTTTGGGGGATTCGATTGTTTTGAACTCAATGGTGATTTTGAAGTTTAAGTTGAATTTTCAAGAAACTTTTCTTGCAAATTCAGGGAAGTTTTAAACTTTATATGTAAATTAGGAGTGTAGTGCATTTCCTAAAAACCACTGGTATAGGTTTCTGCTTCTAGCCATGAGTAAACAACTTGTACTTTAGTCTCCATCTTAACAATGCTTGAATGTAAACCTCAAAAGTATCAAGCAGAGTTAAGGATTTAAAACTAAAGGATGCCGATAACAAAGAAACAAATGGAGCATCTCCGCAGAAACTGTGATACCATGAACCCCCTTGACATGATGCACAGAGGAGAACACATCATTCCTGTGGTTTTATTGCTAAAAGTTCGTAACCTCATTCTAATCATGAGAAAACTTCAGATAAACCTAGATTGAGAGATAGCTATAAAATAACTTCAGAAGTATCAAAGTCATAAAATATTAAGGAAAGACTAAAAATTATCACAGATCAGAGGAAACTAAGAGATAATTATAAATGCAAGGTGGGGGTACTAGATGGAATTTTGAAAAAGAAAAAGTACATGAGAGAAAAAACTGATGAAATTTAAAATAGATCTGCAGTTCAGTGAATACTGTTATATTAATGCTAATTTCCAATTTTGGTTGTATAAAGTGTGAACATCAAGGGAGTTGGATAAAGGGACATATGGGAACTCTATCATTTTTGTACTTTTTTTTCTTTTTGGTGGTTTTGGCCAGGGCTGGATTTGAACCCACCACCTCCAGCATATGGGGCCGGCACCTTACACCTTCGAGCCACAGGCACTGCCCTGTCCTTTTTCTTAATTGATTAAAAAACAATAAAAAAAGTTTTTATTGCAAAAAAATGCATTATAGTAATGGCAGTCCTAGCCAGAGCAGTTAGATGAGAAAAAGAAATGAGCTATATATAACATTTATAATAAAAAAATAAACTTTTTAAAAGTTGAGGCTTTTTGAAAGTAAGATTCCTGTCATAAACAAGTACTTTAGGAGTTAGAGGACAACTAAATCTTGTTAAATGGTTAGGAGTTATGTGTGGGAAAGAGAGAGGACATTCTGGGTAGAGGAAACCTCATTCATTATGAGTTTTTAAGTAAATATAACAGTGAACAGAAATCCAAGCCTTCATAGATAATAAACATGTTTCATAAGAAACATACATATAATCTTATATGATTATAAATTCCAGGAAGAAAACAGAAAAGGGAGCTAGGCAGTTAAGGGAGAGGATTACTATGATAAATAAGGGTGCTCAAGGAAGACCTCTTTTGAGAAGCAGACAGTTTAATACATATCAAATACATGAGGGAGTGACCTAGTTGGCTATATGGAAAGAGAATACTGTAGAGTACAGGAAACAAATACATGACCAGGGACATGCATGCTGTATTTGAGGAAAAACAAGGAAACTGGTATGGCTGGAACAGAGTGAGTTGGTAGGAGAAGTTAAAGGGTAGCAGACTGATTGTTGAGCTTTATGGGAAATATTAAGAATTTTGCCTTTTATTTGGATTGGTACAGAAAACCACTACAAAGGTTTTTGCGTAGAGGCATAACATGTTCTTATATAAGTTTAACAGTATCATTCTGTCTGCTTTTAAGGATAAACAGAAGAGATGTAAAGGTGGAAGCTGAGACCAGTTAGAAGGCTATTGCAGTAATTTGGGCAAGACATAAAGGTGGTTTAGATCAAGTTGGTAGCAGTTGGAGTGATGAGAAGTGGTCAAATTGCTGTAAATCTTAAAGGTTGAGCAACAAGATTTGCTGACAGATCAGATATGGAGGAGCAATGTGAGAAGAAAAGAGTTAAGAGTGACTACAGGTTTTTTGACTAAACAATTGGAAAGATAGGGATTGCCAATAACTGATAGAGAAGAATGTAAGAGGAACAGATTTTAGACACGTTTAGTTTGAGGTACATATTAGATATTCCTTGCATAGTTTTGTGTAGGTGGAGTTCAAGACTAGATTTTAAAAGGAGAGGTCCAGTCTGGAGATAATGAGGGTTCACTCTGTATAGATAGATTTAAAGCCCTGAGGTTAGATGAGATTACCAGTGGTGTCAACATACTAATAGTTGTAAAAGTGATCTGAAATCTGAGGCCTGGGTCTCTCCAGTTTTAAGAAATGAAGAGAGACGAGAAGTAACCAGCAACAGAAACTGAAAAAGCGTAGCCAGTGAGGTAGGAGTAGAACTAGGAGAGTTCGTTGTTAAGGAAACCATGCAAAATATTTCAAAGAAAGAAGTAATCAGCTATGTTAAATGATGTTGATAGGTCAAATAAGATGAGGATTAAAAATGGATTATTAGGCTCGGCGCCTATAGCTCAACCGGCTAAGGCGCCAGCCACATACACCTAAGGTGGCGGGTTTGAATCCCCAGCCCAGACCCGCCAAACAACAATGACAGCTGCAACCAAAAAATAGCCAGGCGTTGTGGCGGGCGCCTGTGGTCCCAGCTACTTGGGAGGCGGAGGCAGGAGACTCGCTTGAGCCCAGGAGTTGGAGGTTGCTGTGAGCTGTAATGTCACGGTACTCTACCCAGGGGGACAGCTTGAGGCTCTGTCTCAAAAAAAAAAAAAAAAAAAAAAAAATGGATTATTAAATTCCTTCATGATTTGGCGAGAGCAGTTTTGGTGGAGTGTTGAGGTGAAAACCTAATTGGGATGGATTTAAGGGTACGTGGAAGTTGAGAAACTGGAGACAGCAAGTACTGTATATATTGTTTTCAAAGAGTTTTCCTATAGAGAGATGTAGAGAAAGTGCCCTCACAGGGGGAAATGAGAGTTAAAAAACAGTTGTTTATTTTATTTATTTTTTTTTTTTTTGAGACAAAGTCTCATTTGGTCACCCTTGGTAAAGTGCCATGGCATCTTAGCTCACAGCAACCTCAAACTCTTGGGGTCAGGGAATTCTCTTGCCTCAGACTCCCAGGTAGCTGGGACTACAGGTGCCTGCCACAGTGCCTGGCTATTTTTTAGAGATGAGGTCTCACTCTTGCTCAAGTTGGTCTCGAACTCGTGAGCTAAGGCAATCCACCTGCCTCAGCCTGCCAAGCACTGAAGTTACAGGCATGTGTTTATCTTTTTTAATGGAGAATAATAGAATACTTATACACTAATGTAAATCTTGTACAGAGTGAATTGTAATGATACATGTTTAAAAAATGGAAAGAATTTCTAGAATTATGTACTTGAGAAGGCCAAAGTGAATAACTTCAGAGCCTAATTGCAGAGGTTAGCTTTTGGTAAGATTAGGTCTATGCCAGTGATCTCCAAGACTATCTACAGGTTTGAAGATTTGCTAGGAGGATTCACAGAGTCAGCATATAGTTGACTTACGGTTATGATTTATAACAGTGAAAGGATAGAAAGCAAAATCAGCAAAGGGAAAAAGTACATGGACGAAATCTAGAGGAAACTAGTTGCAGGCTTCCAGAAATCGTCTCATAGGGGAGTCACACAGGATGCACTTAATTCCTACCCCACAAATTGTGACTTGTGTTAACTTTTGTCTAGGAGGGAAACTCATTATACTTAGTGCGCAAGGTTTTTATTAGAGGGTTATCATGTAGACATCTTCTGTCTAGCACATACCAAATTCCAGCCTGAAGGACAGTAGCCATTCAGCATAAAGTATATCGTTTACCCTAACAGTTTAGGTACAGTTAGCCATTCTTATCATTTATAGCAGTGATTTCCAACTGGTGTGCATCACAAAGCACACTGGTGTGCTGTGAGAAGATCTTAAGTGTCCCTCAAAGATTTTTAAAGATCATTAATTAAATTACTTTTGAAAGAAGTTCAAAGTACACATTTTTTTTAACTCTTGTTTTGATTAACATAATTTAAGTGTGTCACTAAGTTTAGCCATAGGTTCAAGTGTGCTGTGTGATTAAAAAAAAAAGTTGAAAAATACTAATTTACAGAATGGTGGGAATTTCCCCCCCCCCCCAAATTATAAGGTTTCATACTTCAGCCATGAGCCAGCTTTGCTTGCAGTCCATTCTAAGGATAGCAGTCTCAGGCCTGCTATATTAATTCTTTCTGCACAAAGTCCAATTTATTTGGAGGAGAGAAAGCACATGTGAAGGATCAATGTGTGGGGTGATGAACAAAAGGTTGATAGTGGAACTGAGGCTGCTGGTGAAGACAAAGATTTTTGGAAAAGCAATACTTATTTTAAAAATGAAATATGTAATTGTCAGCAAATAAATGTTTAGAATGCTGTTTTATTTTTTAACCTATATGCATAGTAGGAAAATGATTAGATAAAACAGGAGATAGCATTATAATAAGGTAGTATATTGCCATGGCAGTTATAATTGTCTTGGGTTTTTTGTGATATTTTTAGTTTCAGATGAATATCTGATTTCTTATGTTTTGTAAAACCTAATATTCTGATATATTCCAAATATTACTCCTCAGATTAAATTCAGCATAACAAATGGTCCAAACATGATTTATTAGACCAGTATTCCAATTTGGGCTTAGGAAACCAAGGTATACCTATAAAAATATTTGGCAGAACACAAAATAGTATCTATACACCAATTTAAACTGTACAAGAATATATTTCTATACCTTATGATGAAAGGTTATATAAATAATTTTTTTTCTATAAACTTACTCATATAGAAGGGAATATTTTGTATTTTTATTATAGTACCAAGACTAATTATGCCATGGTGATTTGTTTTAATAGGGTCAAGAATTTGCTCCAAAAAGTGTGGCAATAATTGGTCATTCTATGGGTGGCCTTGTTGCAAGAGCATTGCTTACACTTAAAAATTTTAAACAAGATTTGATAAATCTTCTCATTACACAAGCCACGCCTCATGTTGCTCCTGTGATGCCATTAGACCGTTTCATTACAGGTGAGTACTATTACATAAACACTAACAACCTCCTATTGCTGTTCAAAATAACATATTCAAGATATGGTACATATTTATCCATGTGTGAAGTAGCTCGACTTCCAAGTTTGAGCATCCTTGTTTATCTATTTCACCTTAGAGTTATAATTGAAACTATTGTTAGTTTTTTCTGTCGTAGCATCTTAATGTGGTTGACATGCATTTTATAATTCCTAGATAATAGTTTCAGTTTAATTATTCTCAAGGATGATTCCTTATTTATTTATTTATTCATTTATTTAGACCAGTTCTCACTCTGTTGCCCAGCAGTTTAGTGCTATGACATCATAGCTCACAGCAACCTCAAACTCCTGGACTCAAGAGATCCTCTTGCCTCACCCTCCCAAGTAGTTGGGACTACAGGTGCCTGCCACAATACCCTGCTATTTTTGGAGACAGGGTCTTGCTCTTGCTCAGGCTGGTCTTGAACCCACAAGCTTAGGCTGTCTACCTGCCTGGGCCTCCCAGAATGAGCTACCATACCCAGCCTGATTCCCTATTTCTTAAGATGTGTCTAAACTTCTTTTTTATACTTATTTGGAATAGAATAGTATTTAAGTACAACAGCAATGTCTTGTTTTTAAAAAATAGGTATGCTAATACTTGGTGAGGTAGAATTGCTAATATTTATTGAGGTTTTATTATATTTTGGGCAATATTAAAGAATTTCACATGGTGTATTACCACCTTTAATCTTCACTACAGTCCTGTGAAGTTGGCACCATTATTCTCTTGTTTATGGCTTGAAAAAGAGGGCAAGATGAAGTTCTTGACAAAGTCATAGGGGAAGAAAGTAGTTGAGCCAGTATTTGACCCTGACAAACTTGTTCCTGGGCCTGTGCTCTTAACCTTTGCATGCTGTGCTGCTTCTTAATTGACCTGCATTACTATAGCAAAGGAAATAAAACTATGGATTATACTATAGTATTTCAGGAAATTTTGAATGAACAGTAGTGGTTTATGATTGGTATCATCTAAATAGTGATAATGTCACAGAATAAGAATTAAATGCCTACTGTTTCAACTTTTGTTAAAGTCAAAGATTATCTTCATTGCTTAAGGAATATTATATAAGAAGAAAACCTTGTAGAAGAAAACCTTGAGAAAGAATTTTTCTTCTTGAACAGTAAATTTACAACTTTCTATCAAAATTTGCATTATCTTCATTTTGATGAGAACTTTGTTTCTAGTTAAGTGAGAAATATCCTCCATTGACTATAAACTGAAGTAGTTTCTAAAGTGCCCATCTTAACAACATTACCAAGGCATAATTTATTTGCTAGAGGTATCTGACACAACAATACTTGTTAGGAGATTTGGCTTTGGTTTTACATTTAAAAGTTTGCCTGTAGGAATCTTTTAATAGCAGAAAGGTTTAATTTTATAATTGAAGTTGTTTAAATCTATTGTATTACTTGTAGTAATCAAAATGACCATAGGTTTAGAAAAAAAATCAAAGGCCAAAGTCATAGTACTTGTCACAATAGTTGAGAACTCTTTGTATTATTGCATTTGCATGGTATATATAGATGAGCCATGTAAATTAAATTTAAATGATTTAAAGCTGGGAGTGGTGGCTCACGCCTATAATCCTAGCACTCTGGGATGTCAAGACAGGTGGATTACCTGAGCTCGTGGGTTCAAAAGACCTTATCTCTAAGAAAAAAATAGCCAGATGTTGTGACAGGTGCCAGTAGTCCCAGCTACTCAGGAGACTGAAGAGATCACTTGAGCCTAAGAGTTTGAGGTTGCTGTGAGTTATGATGCTAGGGCACTCCTCAAAGGGCATCAAAGTTAGACTTTGTCTCAAAAAAATAAATAAATAAAATGACTTAAATAGATTTTAACAAATTCTTTGAGGAATGAATTTTCAGGTTTTATTGTTTTGAAAGATGGCGATGGTCTGTTTCTAAAAGGCTTAGGATGCTTTCCTTGTAATCTTTTCTCTTTACTCTATGTTTATTTAAGTAACTCAGAATTAGAATGAAGAAAACAAAAGAGCCACAAGTATTTAGGTTTTGAGAGATGGAGATCCCTATGACCTTCAGAAGTAGATTCTCTGTATATATTTGGCAGAAATACCTTAAGTAGGGGGAAAGAGGCCCTATACTGGACTCTGCATTTTAGAGGGCCATGCCCTGGACCTGTCCTTCCCTATACCATAGGAAGTATACAGACTAAGTTTCCCCACTTAGAGCTCATGCCTTTACTTTCTTGACCATGATCCAGGTAACCAACAGGCCTGCAGACTTTTCTTACCCATATAACCCAGGCCTACTTCCAGGGCCTATGTGGGTCTCTTACATGCCTTTGTCCTCCTAGGGGCAGGTATGTATAGTCCTAAACTTGAGTTATAGCTCAGTGGTCTTCAGGAAGTTCAGACAGAGTGTGGATGTGCACATGAGGACCTTGTGATGCAGGGTGGAATTGGGTTGAGAAGAGGAGGATTGAATAGTAAAGGCCCAGGAATCTGCTCTTCCTGTGCTGCAAAAACTCAGTATTCAGCTCTGAGGTGTCTGAAAATTCTTCCAGATTATTTCAGTGATAACATTTGTCAAGATAGTGAGGGAAAATATATTTAACAATCTGTTAGCTGGATTTTTGACTTGTAAGTATTTAGGCATATAGCGTGTATACCACATTGTTACTCAGAGGCCAGGCCCTCCAGATATTATGATTGGATTGGCCTGGTGGCAGTGTAAATAAATATTGCTGAGATCTTTAGTTAGAGAAGCTTGCTATACCAAATGTTTGAAGACCTGAGTGGGATCAAATGCAGAATAAAAATGTATTTTATTTGTTTGTTTTTTGAGATAAAGTCTCACTCTATTGCTCAGGCTAGAGTACTAGAGTTCATTGGCTCAAGTGATCCTCTTGCCACAGCCTCCCAAATAGCTAGGACTACAGATGCATGCCACCACACCTGGCTAATTTTTCTATTTTTTGTAAAGACAGGAATTTGATATGTTGCTCAGAATGATCTTAAACTCCTGAGCTCAAGCAGTCCTACCTCAGTCTCCATGTCTGGGCTTACAGACATGAGCCACTGCACTTGGCCAAGTTTTGATAATCAGAAAAAGAAATGAGAACTCCCCTGCCTTGGCACTGATGATAAAGTTTTCTCACTTCCATAAACAAAGTGAAAAATTGTTAGCAAATTCTTTCCTTTGAACTACTTCTTACACTAAATGTATAGAATCCTAACTCTGAGATTTTCCATAGCGGCATAGTCCTAAGACTAATATCAATGGTATTGTTCTGATCATATTACAAGAATTTAAATAGTACTTTGTGTGAAAGTGGTTGGTCACAGTAAAAAATTGCTAAGCCCTTATTAGTAGGGACACTGCCATGATGAGAAGGGTCTATAACTATTTTGGTTAAGTTACTTTATTGAGGGTAATTGATACATAAAACCTTCACATATTGTATGATTTGACAGATTTCAACATATACATATACCACCAAACCAATACCATAAATATCTACAATGCTTTGGCATAGTAAATTCCTCCCACTGGAAGAATTTTAGAGTTTTTTTCCCCTTGCTATATTGTGTGACTCATAAGCAAGCGTTGTCCTGTGAGGTGTAGAAATATGGTTGTCTGTGGACTTGTCAAAGCTAGTAAGATTTCAATAGCTTTTTTCTTTATTGATAGTTTTAGTAGCTCTTAGTATTTGTACTTTAATGGGAAACAGGAATATGTAAACATACTGATTTTACTCAGAATAGAGAAATGTAAATAACAGTTTATAGAGCATAGGAGTTAAGCAGAAATTTAAATTATTAGTATTTCTGTATAGATATTGTTATAGGGAATGACTATTCCTTTTTAACATCTCTTTTTTTATTCCCCACCAGATTTTTATATGACTATAAACAACTATTGGATTCTAAATGCTCAACACATAAATTTAACCACACTTTCTGTGGCTGGAGGATTCCGGGATTACCAAGTTCGTTCAGGACTGACTTTTCTACCAAAATTAAGCCATCATACCAGTGCCTTATCTGTTGTGGTAATCTTTTTTAAGATTCTACTGAAATAGTCATGTAATAGGCACAGTGGAATAAGAAAGGAGAAATACTGATAATAACTACTGAGTTGGTGGTTTAGGACTGTTGTACCTGTGTGTGTATGGGTGAGAGAGAGAGAGAATGAGACTATGAATAAATGAATAGCGATGTGTTGGGAGGGCCTAGTCATGGATGGTTATGTCCATAGACATTAAAAAGGACCTTAGAAACTTTGTGAAAATGACTCTTTATTTGAGGGGTAATTGTTTCTTGTCCAAAATAAGAGCCTATCCATCAAATAGAGTTGCAAATGTAAGGAAGTATGAAGTCTAAGGGAATCAAGTTACATCTGAGTGTTATACTATATGCAATAGTAGTAGAATATCAGATGCCTAAGCATCTGTGGATGCTTAGCTTGATTGAAGGTTACCAATTTTAAAATGATTAGCTTTGATAGTGTCAGTATAAATAGAACCCTGATTGATTAATTTGCTATTTATTCTTCCCTGCTAGGACATCAAGTATTTGGTCTTTAACTGGGATACATAACCTATGTAAAGTGAGTTCAAGTTTCCTTTTAGGACTTCTTTTTTGTATATTTAACCTAACCTCGAAGTCTTCAGTTAAGATCTTCTTAACTCAGTATATACATCATCTCCAAATGTAACTTATTTTCTGAAGAGAAAATCCATAGAATGTGGTATGCCCATTCCTTTTGCTTTTTAGAAGATAGTTCTAGAAAGTCACTGTTTCATAGTTATAAATACTCCTTTGTTCATCTAAATACTCCTTTTTTCATCTCATCTACTGTTACCCTACCTTAGATTGCTGTTCATTCATTAAATAGGTATTTACTGAATGCTTACCGTACATAGAACAAAAATTATGAAGCTATTCTGCTGTTGCCTACCATTTTCTTATAACTGGAGGAATTGGGATTTAGCCAGAATAGCTTTGCAACTAAAATTAGTAAATCTATTAACCTTCATTATTTGTGGCATGGGTCTTATTATTTGGTGTTAAATATTTTGGGCAGATATTTGCAGGAAGTCCTTAAAAAGCTAAATGTCAACTTTTAGTTAACACAGATAACACTTTTATTTAGTCATATAAAATTAGATTTAACTTATTTCCTAGACTTTGTCTGCAACATGATACTGTATTGATACCACATCTTGAGGCTTTTTTTTAAGAACTTTGATCTTTTTAATCTTCCATGTATGCATACATTTCCCTATTTTTTCTAATCCATCTGTGTTGCTTTCAAAAAAGCTTGTATTGCTGACTTCTGTATCTCTGAGGAAAATATTTTGCTATGTAATACTCTTAAAGCTGGCTGTTAAATAAACTGAATTTTATTTTTTTTAGCCTCCAGATAGTCTTATAGTCTTTCGTATATCTACATGTGTATTTACTTTTCAAAAACACTTATTAAGAAGTGACAACTTTGGGTGGCACCTGTGGCTCAGTGAGTAGGGTGCTGGTCCCATAGACCGGAGGTGGTGGGTTCAAGCCCGGCCCTGGCCAAAAACTGCAAAAAAAAAAGACTTTAAAAAGAAGTGACAACTTTTGAATGATTATCTCAGGAACACTTAAATGACATTTACATCCATTGGGACTTGAGGAATCATTTAAGTTAGAGACCATAATTGTTTGGGTTTCACTACTATAATAATACAATCCAAGTTTTAGTAAGCCATCAGCAGTAATTTCTGAATACATCAAGTGCTTATAAATTCACCAAATAAGCTATAGATTCTTCCCACTTCAGAACCTTGAACCCAAAGACCTGTTATTCACAAAGTACAAAGGTGATAATTATACCTTAGACATTATGATTACTCCCCCTTTTTTAGTTCACTTATTAGAGAGGCATGTTAGGCCTCTAAATTATCCTGCATCTATGCCATCAGTCTCCATTTTCTTTTGACAGTTCTGGTGATGGCAGCTCATTTTGCTTTTGATAGTGCAGAGAGAGGGGCTGTGAAAAATAAAATCAGATTTAATTAATGAGCCCCTATTGTGTGTAAGATACTATTCACAAAAAGATCATTACTTAGTGTGGAAAGGAGTCTTTAGTTGCGAAGGGTGCTGTGTCATTATTAGGAAGCCTTATGCAAATAGGTATGTTTTTGAGGAGCCTTTTGCCCTTATGTCTCGTTTAACTAGACCAACACATTCTAATCATCTAATCATCTTTTCAGAATAGTAAGCCTGGGCCTCACTTATAAGAGTCTGATTTGGTAGCTTCAGAATTATAATCAGGCATATTTATTTTGAAAAATCTTCCTAGATACAGGTATTTCCCAGGTACACCACTGATGAAAAAGTAACATCTTTTAATCTGTTAAGTGGTAGTTTAGTCAAAACTGAAATTACCAAAATATCTGTTTTACCTTATGTGTAAATTATGATTTATTAAAGAATCTTAACTCAGCCTCTCATAAGAATAATTAAGAAGTTAGATATTAAACTTCAGTAAAGAATCTGTGGATGCTTTAATAATTTTTAAAGGGCAATTTAAGCTGATTTACCAGTAAAAGCATTTAGAGAAAATTATGTTATTTTATGCAGGAAAATCTGAACATATTTGGATCATTTTTTATAAGAATGTATCATTTTTATTTTATGTATTCATTTATTTTTTGAGACAGAGTCCGACTCTCTGCCCTGGATCAAGTATTGAGGCGTCCTAGCTCATAGCAGCCTTAAATTTTGGGGCTAAAGCGATGCTCTTGCCTCAGCCTCCCCAGAAACTGAGAATACAGGTTCCCACAGTAACACTGGCTGGTTTTTCTATTTTTAGCATAGATGGAGGGTCTCACTTTTGCTTAGGCTGGTCTTTAACTTTTCAGCTCAAGTGATCCACCCACCTTGACCTCCCAGAGTGCTAGGAATTATAGGAGAATTTATCATTTTTAAATGTCTACACATCATAATATAGTGAAACTAATGAGTATCTGAGTATTAGATTATAAGAATTTTAAACCTCTTAGGGACTAATAAATGTGCTTTTCTTAACTTTGATTTTTTTTTTTCTTTTTTTAGAGTTCAGCAGTGCCCAAGACCTGGGTTTCAACAGATCACCTCTCCATTGTGTGGTAAGTTAATACTTGTCTAATTTATTTTGATGATTTGTTGTGGTCCTCTTTTTGCACCAATGCAGTGATTAATTGGTTAACTTTCTTAAACTTTATTCATAATTAAATAAGGCTATAGGAGAAAGATTTATTTGAGAGCTTAGAACTCTAACTTTGGTTCTTATCTCAGTTTGAGCAAAGTTCCCTTGACAACTTACAAAATCATTTCCTGAAGAACCAGTAGCATCAGTCTCAAATGAAGCTAATGTCAGCTACCAAAGTTTTAGAATTTGCCCTAGTTGGGGAGAATCAAACGCACTTGTGGTAGGACTTTCTGAACTCCTGGCCAATAACCATACTCAGGGATATGATGCAGTAGTGACTGTTTTAGGGAGCAGCATGTGGAAAACCAAGTAAGAAGGGGATAGATGTATGTATTAGGCAGATGTATGTCTGTAGCTAGGGCAGGTAAGGAAGGGAAGACAGAAGGACCCTGACAATTCTTTCATAATATCCAGGAAGATTTTTTTTTTTTAATTGAATGGTAACTATGTACATTAATGCGCTTCTGGGGTACAGTGTGGGGTTTTCACATGCAATCTGAAACATCCAGGAAGATTTAATTAGATTTATTTGTATAGGTTTCAACTTTTAAAAGGTATGTTTTTATTTTTAATAATAAATTTATTGTTTATAAACAATATTTATCATTTATTAAATATTTATTATAAACAAAAATGTTATCATTAACAATTTATTATTTATTAACAATAAAAATTATTGGTAATTATTTTTGAGTTTACAGCATTAATAGAAATGCAGGTTTTCTATTAAATAATAAAATTGTGCAAGCTTGGATGAATAATATATGTTTTTAAAAGTTTCATTTGTAATACTTTGTTCTTTAGGTGTAAACAGTTGCAATTGACTACAGTTCGAGCATTCTTTGATCTTATTGATGCTGATACTAAACAAGTATGTATTTTTAAACTAAAAATTATTTCAGTAAAGTTAAAGCTTTTGTTACAGAAATTATGGATTTAATGCCTTTTTTTTATTTCAACGAAAATAAAATAAAAGCCACTACCTTATGACATTTTAATTGGTTCCAAAATGGAAATGTTTTTGTGGTTCATAAAGATGCAATGAAAATATAAAGGTGAAAGGACCTTAAATTTCCCCCAGTCTGAAGTTTGATATATATCCTTCTTACTTTTAATGTTTGACATATATTCCATTAAAGTCTGATATATGTCCTTCTTACTTTTTTTTTAACTTAAGTAAAATACTTCTTACAAGCTATTTTATAATTTTTCCCTTAGTAATGTAAGCACCATGATACATCTTAATAGACTTTTTTTTAAGAGATGGGATCTCACTGTGTTGCCCAGGCTGGACTTAAATCTCTAGGCTCAAGTGTTCCTCTCACTTCAGTCTCCAAAGCTTATTAGACATTTTTGAGCCATGTTTTTAAAAGCATATCTTTAACTTTCTGATGAAATCAAAGTATATCCATTTATTGAGTAATTCAAGTTCACCAGAACTTATATTATGTACTTCTGTAAGTTGAGCTTTCTCTATAATGAGATTTTGCGGTGTATTTTTCAGACTAGTTATTTTCCAGGTTATTCAATTAGCAAGGCATATGGAAGTTAAAGTGTCCTTTGCAGAACATCACATTACTCTTTTATCTCTTTCTTGTCTGCTAGCAGGAAAATAGCAGGAATCAAGAATTTCTACAAAATTGACAGAGTTTAAATTGTTAACTTTAAATTGGCAACAAATTGGCCTTATTCATTTTAGTCTTTCACCACAGATCCTCTTTCTCCATGGAAATATGTTTCCAGATTATGGCTCTGGCTTCTTTTAGAGAAAAAAAAATTCTTATTGCTTAGATAATCTTTTTTCATTATGGCAAAATATTGCAGCCCAGGTATTTTTTTGATTCTTTCCTCTGAAGGCTACAATTCTTTGAGAGACCGGTGACAGTGGCCCCTTTTCTTATTACTGGGGAAAGAACCTTTCCCCTGGAGGGTGTTCACTTCAGGGATAGTGAGAAGTGTCTATATTTTTTCCATAACTCTTCAGAAAGTTGTATAACCACTATTAGAATCATAGATACTTAGCTCTCTCCTGAAGATCTAAATCATTTTGAGATTCTACACTGTTAGTATGTTTATTGAAGTAAATAAACTTTATGGAGTTAACACTATGAGTTGGTCATGGAACACAAACACTTTTTGGTTTATGAACATTGTTTTAACTATTAAGCTAAACTGTGGCAAAAGTTTTAAGTCTACGTGAGAGAATGAGTAGATGTCATAATAGAATCAATTAAAATGGCAAGACTAGTTCTTACTTGAACTGACATTTGGTAGACTTAGGAAAAACCTTAACTGTAACCAGTGAATCTCTAACAGATTTTGCAGTGTATTCCTCAGACTAGTCATTTTCCAGGTTATTCATTTAGCAAAGCATATGGAAATTAAAGTGTCCTTTACAGAATATCACATTACTCTTTTATCTCTTTCTTGTCTGCTAGCAGGAAAATAGCTATACCTCAGGTATAATAAAAAAAAATTGGGTATAAAACTAATTTTAATAAATAAAATCATGTTTTTCCATTAACTCCCCTCTGATGAGAAAAACTCTAGTAATACTAGTATGTAATAAATTATAATTCTGAATGCATAAATATTTTACTGACCAATTTTATGGGGCAAATGAGAAATTTGTGATAACTGTACTATGAATCAAAATATAGTACTGTTGCCACGTGCCACGGCACACATCGGTAATCCTAGTATTTTGGGAGGCCAAGGCCAGAGGATTGCTTAAGATTTGGAGGTCAAGACCAGCCTGGGCAACAAAATAAAACCTATCTCTAAAAAAATAAAAAATTAGCCAGGTATGGCAGTATGCTCCTGTAGTCCTAGCTACTCAGGAGGCTGAGGTGGTAGGATCACTTGAGCCCATGAGTCTGAGGTTACAGTGACCTATGAATGTACCTCTGCATTCCAGCCTGGGCAACAGAGTAAAACTCTGACACTGAAAAAAATGTATCATACTGTTTATTAAACTGAGTTCTGCTTAACAAACTTCTTATATGTAATTGACTAAATACTAGAAAATCAAAACTTAGAATGTGATTACTGACTTTCAAGAAGCATATATTCTAGGATGATTGCAGAATATACATATGGAATAACTATAACTCAAAGCCTAATTAGTTCCAAACATGGTGCTAAGACAGGAATCAGAATTAGAGACTAATTTTTGGTGATTAGCAGCAAAAAAGTCATAGCTAAAATCTTGTGAGTAGATAGATTGCCTAGAAAGTGAGTAAGGATAGTAGAGTCCTGATTAATTAAGGTTTTGGTAGATGGACTTATGGCTTGTAATTGATTACAGACAGATGAGAATAATTGTAAAAAAATCAAACTAATTTAGTATGGTCATGAGTTATTTGAAATACAGAATTTGCATCAATGAATTAAAAGTTCCACTGTCTTCCACTCTACTTAGGCCATACTTACAGAACTATGTTCTGCTTTGCATACCATTTAAGAAGGACAGCAACAGACTTTATCCAGAGGCAATCAGGATGCTAAAAGAGTTCCATGAAACACAGTTGATAGCTCTGTGAACATGGGCAGATTAATGGATACATACATATATAACCATTGATATATTGGAAGTTGTTTAACTTATAGAAGAAATATTTTGTTTGGATAGGGTATAACAGTCCTCCAATTTTTGAAGGCCCCAGTCTAAGATGTCAAAGTAGGGGAATCAGATGATTTGCTCTATAACAGATAAATCATTTTCCTTGAATATTGTCTTATAAATTGGAACATACTGTCTTACAAAGTAGCAAATTAGAAATGCTCAAATAGTGGGTGACTTCCTAAACAACTGGAAATGTTCAGTAGATGTAGTCCTCACTGTCATTTTGTTGTAATTATCTCACTGTGTTGTTGCTAAGAAAATAATTTACCTATAAAGTCTTCATTAAACTAGCAAGTTGAATAATGATAGATTCCAAATGGATTTTATATGCTAGTACTCTTTTTTTTTTAAGGGAGGGACTGACATTTAGTTGCCAACTTTTTATTGTGCTAGGCTATTAAAAAAATTAAAAAAGCAGTCAGTAGAAGAAAGTAGTTTCGAGGGAAGAACAGCTGATAATTTATATTTTCTCTAGTGACCAGTGGATTCTGTGTTGTGGGATTGGCATTGGTCTGAGTTTGGAAACTGATGGGTAGGCATGTCTAGACCAGAGAATCTCTTAAGTTCTCTTCTGATTCTATATATCTTTATAAGGTTTTAGTCTTAACTGTTATTTGACAGGTATTATTGCATAAAAATTAAAGCATGGATTTTAGAGCCAGAATGACTGAGTTTGAATCCCTGCCCAGACTCATAATAGCTGTGTGAATTTGGGCAAGTTTCTTAATTTCTCTATGCTTTAGTTTCTTCGTATTTAAAATGCATAGAAAAAGGTTATTATCTCTTAAAGTTCTTATGATTAAATAAGTTAATAGCACGTTCAGTGCTTAGAATACTACCTGGCTGAGAGTAAGTAAAAGCTGGCTTTTGTCATTATTACTTGAAGTAATGTTTCATTGAACTATTACAATAGATATACTATGTAAACTGATACATAATTTATCAATGTTCTTTCTAGATAACTCAAAATTCCAAGAAGAAATTGTCGGTTTTGAATCACCACTTTATAAGACATCCTTCAAAACAGTTTGAGGAAAATCCAGCTATAATTTCTGACTTAACAGGTTGGTAGTAATAACATATTTTATGTGAAATTTTTTAGTATTCTTTTTATTAGGTCATTAAATGTGAAATGTCCAATTTCAAATCAGAAGTTTAGTTTATTATATCTCAAATAAGAAGCAGTACAATTAATCAAAGTGTGTGCGTAAACTGCGACACGGTTTTGCTGTCTTAACAGTAGCTTGTGTATGCAGGCAGTGTAGAAACCTGGAGAGCAAATTGTGATGAGGTCAGCTCTGTTTTCCAGAGCTGTTTGAGAATGGGCTTTTTTTCTTGGAAGAAATGGTCCAAAGCGTGGATGAAGTAAAACTTCACCAAAGACTAGTGACTATAGTGCATGACAGAGTTTCCAACTCCAGCCTACAGTTTGGGCAGCATTGTTTGTGCACGATGGGGTTGAGTATTGTCTTGCAGGAGGATTGGCCATCTCTGTTGCCCAGTCTCAGCTGCTTAATCACAAGTCTCCATGTCATTTTGTCCAATTGTTTGCAGTGGATACCTGCTGTAATCACTTGACTAGCTGTAGTGAATAATACCAGCACTGGACCACAGACAGACACCATTAGCTTTTTTTGATGAATATTCAGTTTTGGACCATGTTTTTGGACTTTATCTTTATTTGACTATTGTGCCAAATGCTTACAATTGTCAAAAAGAATCCATTATTTAACACACATAACAATACGGTGTAGAAGGTTCACCTTTATGTCATGACAGCAAAGAAAGGCAAGCTTCAAGTCAGTTTTCTCTTTTGACGTTCCTTTAATTCATGTGGAACCCATCTATTCAGCTTCTTTACTTTGCTGATTTGTTTCAAATGGTCCAATACTTCAAAATAGGCAACATCAACCTTTATTGATAATTCACTAGCAATAGAAATGGATTTACTTTCACACATCTTTCAACCCATTATTATCACTTTGGTCTCAGGTGACCCTCATGGCTGATTTTCAAAGTTAAAATTACCAGAACGAACTTCTCAAACCATCGTTCCTTAGCCACATTCTGTAATATAAGCTATCTGTAATATGGAAGCAACACACTATATCCTATGATAGAATTAATGTACACAATTACGACCTAATAAAAAATAAATTAAAAAAAATACGAGTTTTTGCCTTACCTATGGTTTTACAAAAATTGCTGTTAAAAAAAAATTGAAATATAATCACAAGCCAAAATGTGCATGTGAAAAAAATTAGGATGTACCTTCACAATAAAAGTATTAAAAGTAAAATAACAAGTGTCAAAATGAAATGACAGAGATATCAGTTATCAAACTTAGTACTTAAGGAAATTGGACATTTCATACTTAATAGCATAGCATAATAGCTGGCGGGCTTAAATCCAGCCCAGGCCTGCCAAACAACAATGATAACTATACCTAAAAAATAGCCGGGTGATATTGTGGGTGCCTGTAGTCTCAGTTACTTGGGAGGCTGAGGCAAGAGAATCGCTTAAGCCCAAGAGTTTTAGGTTGCTGTGAGCTGTGATACTACAGCACTCTACCAAGGTTGAGTGAGTCTCTGTCTCAAAAAAAAATGGAAGTTTATTATTAGCAAAGTCTCTGAAACTATGATACTTCCAAGTGTTATGATCCTATTATATATTATTAATTTCCCTATATGGTGCTGGTACTAGTGCAATGCCTAGTTAGGAAGGAATAAAGCAGAAAAGGAACTTGTGAGATATTACTGGTAAAAATTTAGTCCTATAAATAACATTACAAATAGAAGATTTTTAGTTAAATGTTTCTATTTTCCTGAAAGTCACATAAAATAAATACTATTTTATTCTTGACTCCTTTCATTTTCTCAGTTTTCAGTTATTCTGATCTTTTCAATCACCCATGTGATTTTTTTAAAAAATAAAAATAAAAAATAAAAAATAAAAAATAAATAAAAAATTTTCTTTTAAATAAAGAAAATTATACCTGTTAAATCCTACTTAATTCATTTCCCTACTTTTTTGGGGAAATGAAACATTTATTTCCTTCCACTGATAATTTCTAGAGTTAAAGACATTAAACAGATTTGTAATACTTGATATGAATGCTAGAGTTGGTAATGAGCATAGAGAAAACATGTTACTAGGTTTTCTGTTTTAATAGCCAATATTCAGGTAACAATTTCTTTATTATGGTAAGTATTTCACCAGAAAAATTTAAAAGAAAGTAATATAAAAACCAAACAGGGCAAATAAATTAATTTCCTTTTCCTTAAGGAACATCTATGTGGGTTCCAGTAAAAGTGTCCAAATGGTCTTATGTGGCTTATAATGTAAGTATTCCACCAGTGTATTTTTTTTACTTTTTTAAGAAACATTTTAGTATTTATCTTTAAAAATTAAAGACTCTTTACCTGTAATCCTAGTACTCCGGGAGGCCAAGGTGAGTGGATTGCCTGAGATCACGGGTTTGAGACCAGCCGAGCAAGAGCAAGACCCCGTCTCTAAAAATAGCTGGGGTGTTGTGTGGGTACCTGTAGTTGCAGCTACTCAGGAGGCTAAGGCAAGAGAATTGCTTGAGCCCAAGAGTTTGAGGTTGCTGTGAGCTATGATTGTACAGCACTCTATAGAGGGCAACAAAGTAAGACTGTGTCTCAAAAAAAAAAAAAGTTAAAGACTAAAAAAAGAGAACTGGAGTTAATTTTCTCACAATTTAATAATAACTATTTAATAATACATATCTGGTTGTTCAGTTTCGCGGTTTTATCAGAACTTTATCTTTTGTTTTGCTTTTCAGTTTGTTTAAATCAAAGGATCCAAACAAGGCCTATACATTGTTATTACTTGATATGTCTCTTATTCCTCTTCAATCTGTAATATCTTTTCTAACCTTTTTTCCTATTGCAATTTATTTGTTGGATTAAAAAAAAATGTTGTGTGTCCTAAAAAGTTTCATGTAGTCTTTTTCTTTCTTTCTTTCTTTTTTATTAAACGATAGCTGTGTACATTAATGCAATCATGGGGTATAGTGTGGTGTTTTCGTATACAATTTGAAATATTTTCATCAAACTGGTTAACATAGCCTTCATGTCATTTTCTTAGTTATTGTGTTAAGCTGTTTATATTTTACTTTTAGAAAGATTCACTTGTACCCTTGTAAGATAAACCATAGAGGTGATCCCTTGAATCACCCTCCCTCCACCCATCCAACCCCCTCCCCATAGTCTTAGGCTATAATTAGGTTATAGCTTTCACATGAAAGCTATAAATTAGTTTCATAATAGGGCTGTTGTACATTGGATACTTTTTCTTCCATTCTTGAGATACTTTGCTAAAAAGAACATAGTCTTGATTTAACTGACTTTATTCCTATAGTCATTCAGCATTCTCCTTTACCTGTTCTTTTCCTATGATTTAGTAGTGGGATCTAGATCCTTATTCAGATTCTAGGTTCTGATTTTTTGTTTGTTTTTGCTAGACTATCTTTTTCTTGTGATGTTAGCAGCTGTTGATAAGGAATTTGTGGAGTCATTAGTTCATTTAGGAGGATGCAAAAATGATACTTTTATTTTACTATTCCTTCATTACTAACTGGTAAACTGTATAGAAAATCTTCTCATTTATTAAATTTGACAAACGTGGATTAAATCATAAAGGCAAAGGATGATCATTGTTAAGATCTTTAATCTTACCTAAATCCACTAGTTATCAGAATAGTGAGTTGGTTCCCAAGCTTTCTCCATCAGTAACCATTAGAGATTTTTCTTCCCAGTGTTAGTCTGAGCTCATGTATTTCATTATATTTGAGTTTCAATCCATTCATAATAAAATTGTTCTGTGTTTGACCAGTGAAGCCTTTTTAATTAAAGTTTGACTCAAGTCTTACTGATACAGCTCTTTAGTTGTCTGTAATAATTTCTTCACTGTCCATTATGACAAGATATTTCAGCTCATTTTTTGTGCATTTCCTCCCCCAGACCTTGAAATCAGCTTTTTGTCTAAGGAACTATTCCTTTTATTTAGGAAATGGTATTT